CGTGCTGGTTGGGAAGTGGGGGGGGAATGGGGCGTCTGGTCTTTCCCCTCCAGGGGGCACTGGCTACCCTCAGCTGGCTCTGGCTGCCCCCCTCATGGGCAGCCCCTGCAGAAAGGACTGACCGGCCCCTGAGAACTGGGGGGGTCCATGCAGGTCAGAGCTGGGGCCAAGGGCTGGGGTAAGTGGGGGGCTGCTCACCTTGGCTATCTGGGCCCACTCCTCCCCCACCGCACTGGGGCCTCCCGTCTCCCCCCCGGCCGCGCCAAGCAGCCGGGCGCAGCTCCGGTGGGAGAACACGGCCTTCTCCAGGGAGGCCACCGCCTGCTGCAGGTCCAGGAACACGTCCGAGCTGCCTCCTAGCGGGGGAGAGGTAGGGACAGGTCAGGGGAAGCTCTGTTGTGTGTGTGGGGGGGGTTCGTGCCCCTTCCACGCTCGGGGGTCTGGGCTCTCCCTGCTGTAAGGAGGGACAGAGCAGCAAGAGCCGTGGCTCCTCTCGATGCAAAGGGAGTGAGCAGCAGGCCCATGATGAGGGCGCAGGGCCGGAAGAGAGGGGCCCATGGATCCGTACCACCAGGGAGCAGAAGGCTGGCTTTGCCATGAGGCATCCCTGGGGTCTTCCCCATTCGACCGTGGCAGAGAACGGGGCGCTGGCAAGGGGAAACCCTTTCAGTGGTAATAAACCTGGTCTAAAGCTTGTTCCCCATGGAGCTCAAAGGGCTGGACATAGCCAGGGCCGCACCATTATCCTCAAGTCCCAGCTGGGGAAACTGAGGCACGGAGGGGGGGCTGGGACAGGCCTGGGTCACCCAGCAGGGGACTGGCATTGGCAGGCATAGAATCCAGAGGACCTGGGTCTACCCATTTAGCCTCACTGCCTCCGAAAGGTACAGGAGAGTGTGGGGCAGAACCCTTCTCTACCTTCCATGGGGCAGCCCATAGGGAAGGGGCGGATGGCCAAGCTCCGAGGCCTTGGCATGCAGCGGGGAAGGCTGGCGGTGTACTCGGAGC